GCCTTGAGGGACATAGGCCTTGAAGGCCAGGCTAAGGACTTTGGAGGTAACGATACCCCTCCATACACAGATATTATTAAAGGGTGTAACGCACCTGAAACCTGGGATGTAGTAAGTGCTCCGTAAAAGGTCTCCATTCATATTTCTTTACTGTTGTGGCAAAATACACATAACATAAAATTTACAACTTTAACCATTTGAAAGTGTACAACCCGGTGGCATTTATGTAGTACATTCATAATGTGCAACCATCACCACTACCTAGATCCAGAACATTTTCATCACTCCAAAAGGAAACCGTGTACCCATTAAGCAAACACTCTCTGTTTGCTCCTCTCTCTACATCCTGGGAACCACTAATCTGCTTTTTCTCTCTATGGATTTGCCTATTCTGGATATTAATATAAGTGGCTCTTTCATTTAGTGTAATATTTTTCCAGGTTGGTCCATGTTGTAGCATGTATCAGTACTTCAGTCCTTTCTATGGCTGGATCATATTCCATTGTGGGGCTATACCACACCTTGTTTGTCCATTGATCAGTTGATGGACATTTGGGGTGTTTCTACCTTATGGTTATTGTGAATGGTGCTGCTGTGAACATTCCTGTACAAGTCCTTGCTTTAACACCTGTTTTCAATTCTTTAGGTATATACCCAGGGGAGTAGAATTATTGGGTCACATGGTAATTCCATGTTTAACTTATTGAGAAACAGCCAAACTGTTTGTCACAGCGGCCATTACTCTTTTCATTGTTGTTATTATTATAAGGCTTCTATTTCCTTGTAAGGAAATTTGTTTCCTTCTCAGCCCACTCTAATGGTGCCCCCAAAGCCCAGGGGGGCCGGATCCTGCTACCTGTCCCTTCCTCTGCTTCTCTCCCCCTCCCTCCAGCACTGGCCTTCGGCTCACCGGGGCCCCTCTTGCAGGTGTTCGGCGACGTGGACCAGGTGCGCATGACCTCGGAGGGCTCAGACTGCCGCTGCAAGTGCATCATGCGGCCGCTGAGCAAGGACGCGTGCAGCCGGGTGCGCAGCGGGCGGGCACGAGTGGAGGACTTCTACACGGTGGAGACTGTGAGCTCCGGCACCGACTGCCGCTGCTCCTGCACCGCGCCGCCCTCCTCGCTCAACCCCTGCGAGAACGAGTGGAAGATGGAGAAACTCAAGAAACAGGCACCCGAGCTCCTCAAGGTAGACTTTCTGGAGTAAAGGCCGGGATGGGACCGCACTCCTGTGTGAATACCTAGCATTGGCTGGCGCCGGCTGTCCCTCCAATGAAAAGGCCACATGTTCTAAGGCAGGGGTCCCATTTCACAGGTGAGGAATCACTGGCTCCCTGAGAGGACACCAATTCCTGCCTAAGACTATTTGGCCAGTCAGTGATGGAGGCAGCATCGTTTGGCCAGCTCACCTGGATAGAGCCCTTTACCCTCTAGTAGCATCTATCCCAGTGTCCTGTGTTTTACCCAAACCAGGTCATCTGTCAGCACCTCCATGTAGTATTTTGTGGCATTTGATTGTTTTTTATGTAATAACATTTCCCATATTCATGCACCACCTTCGTGCCAGATGTTGTGCTGAGCTCTTTTCTTTTTTTAACATTATTTCTCTAAATTCTTAAACCGTTTTGTGAAGTATGGGATCTTTGTCCTCATTTTAGAGGCAAGAAAACTGAGGTTTGGAGAAGTGAGGTAACTGGCCCAAGCTCTCACATAATGACATGCAGCCGCAAGTCTATACCATATTTTTATGTAAATTTTGTGCTTATAATCCCCTCCCCCCACCCCACCATAGGAAGATTAGAAAGAGGCACCACCTCTAGGTGACACAGCCCTGTGCCGGGCCCACCACCAGGACCCATGGCTTGGATAGGCATGTGGAGGGAGACCACAGTGCCCCATCCAGCCTGGCACCTTCATGCCATTCACACCTTCATGCGCAACTCCGTGCTTGGCGCCGGGCCTGGTGGGGCTGGGATGTGAACTCAGGGCCTGCTGTGTCCAAAGCATGTGTTCTAAATCACCCTGCTCTCCTGTCTTCCTTTCTGTAATAGCCAGATAATTTGGTGGCTTTTGAGAGGATCCTTTTCTTTTATAATTTCTAACAAACATGTGTCTATTTTGCCCTTTTCGTGTCAAGAACTGTGAAGTTGACTGAGATGTTACCCTACTTGTAAGCTAACAAGTTAGCCTGCTAGTTTCATGGACGCTGGCAGTAGACACGAGCCAGAGACAAAGGACTTTATTACTCACAGTCGCCAGAGTGTCTCCACTTTCTTGCACTGGTTCTCCCACTCACTTCCCACAGGGTGATGCAGTGAGGGCCAGATAACACGTGCACACACAGTGGGATGTTTTCCAAGAGAGAAGCCCCAACTTAGAGAATCCAGATCTCTTATAATGAGCACCAAGCACGCCTTCCCTGCTCCAGAGGGAAACACTCTCTGGATGCTCCAAGGCTGGTCACTCTGCAACAAGATGGCCTGGAACAAGGGCAGTCAGTGCCTCTGCAGGCAAGACATGCAGAAAAGCAAGAGGCCTGGGAAGAACTGTCTCCCAACATTTGGCTAAAAATGTTTTCTTTAAATTTAACTTTAGTTTTATTTTTGTAACTACTGGATGGATACCAAAACTCTCGAAGTTGGGGGTGGCGGTTGAATTTTAGGCCAAGTGGCCTCTTGACAACTTGGCAGTTCCTGGACCACACTGTCTCCCAAACCCAGTAGGGCCCTGCAGACTCCAGGCACTGAAGCCATAGGCCAGTCTTCAGTTACAGGGACAAAACCAACTTTTGCTCAAATCCACTTCTCAACAACTGAATTGTAAGCATACTTGACATGAGGATAGACAAAACCTTTTCCTAAATGCTGGCTAATTTAATCCTTGCTACAGCCCTTTGGAGAGGGAACTTATGTTCCCAGCTTTACTTGGGGGAGGAATCTGAGGCCCAGAGAGGAACTGTGACTTGCCTAACATAACACAGCAAGAAATTTGAATCCAGGAATTCTCTGCTGTGTCCCCTTGCCCAGTGGAGAGGGCAGTTCTCTCAGCCGGGAGCTGTCCCTTCAGTGCACAGCAGCCATGGGGGGTTTTATTCAGCCTTATAGAACTGGAGTGGCGCAGTGGTGGGATTAACCCAGCAGGAGGCGTCATAGGAAGAACACAGAGAAGATACTCTGCCTCCTTGATACTGTAGGAGTATAAGTGAGTACCTGACAGGTACCCAGTGAGCCCCAAGAGGAGAAGTGGAAAGAGTCAGTAGGAGACAGAGCTGAGGCCCCTCTCATTTGGCTAGGCTCCCCCTCCCTCAGTGGGCAGTCCCCCCAGGAGAGGAGGTTAGGGGAAGCCACTGTGGAGGGGAATAGGGCAACCCACCCTATACCTGCCCCTTGTCTCTACCCCAACCCTTCCCCTCAAGCTAAGAACTGCAGCTGTGATTTAGCCTTAGTTGCATGGCTCTGAGGAGGAAGAATGGGATTCTAGATCCCCTTTCTTGGGGGCGTTTCTCTCACCTCTTCACTCCCTTTCCTTCTGGACCTGAATTCGGCATGGCCCCACCCTTGAGGAATTCCAGTCCTATGGGGACACAGCTCCTGACCCCAGTCATGGCAGTGCAGTCAGTGCTGGGCCATTGGACGTCCCAGGGACTGTGGGAACCCAGAGGAGGAGGTAACATTACAGCTGGGCTTTGAGGGATGTGTAGGAGTCCCTCGAGCAGAGCAGAAATAAGAACATTCTGGGTGAGAGTAAGTGGAGTGGGTGTGACCCAGGGTGCCTCCCTGCCCTCTCTCTGCCCCAGCCCCACTAGCCGCCTGTCAGTTCCACACTGTTCTTCTCAAACTATATGTGGTGAGAGACCAGTTTTTAAAACAATCTGTCAAGAACTGGGAATTCCTTGGTGATCCAGTGGTTAGGACTTGGTGCTCTCATTCCCAGGGGCCCAGGTTTGATCCCTGATCAGGGAACTAAAATCCTGCAAGCCACGTGGCTCAGTCAAAAATAAAATCTGTCAAGAACCAACACTTGTAAAATACTGTAAAAACGAATTGTTAGGAAAATGAATTGGAATAGAAACAGACACGCAAAATACAAGTCCAGTGTTGTATTATTTGAGTCTACAGATATAAAATTTCTCTGTCAAATGGCTCTGAAAGTTTATAAAAGCCTATGCTCGCTTTTTGTAATTATTTTATCGCAGACTGCTAACGAGCAGCTTGGACTTTTGCTGGTCCGCAGACTACATTTTGAGTTGCTCGGCTCAAACACACCGTGTGTCTTCACACCGCCAGCTCTTGGCACGAGCCGTTCCCTTTGCCTGGAACGTCCTTCTCCAGCCATCGTGTCTGATCTGTGCTCCTCCCTCAGAGCTCAGTTCAACAAAACTTCCTGCTGGCAGACTTTACCGAGCCACACACACTCCCAGACAAGGTCAGTGCCCCATCGTTAATGACCTGGGCACCTGTGTGTGTTCCCACCTGCATTCCCTGATCCAGGCACCTCTGTGTTACTCTGCACTCCTTGACAGCCTGTAAAGGACCATGAAGGCTCGTGTCTGTATTGTCATCACTGTCCTTAATGCCCGGCCCAGAGTGAACATTTGCTGAGGCCAAAGAAGGTGGCAGGGGCAGATCAAGAAGGGCTTGAATGCCAGGGTCAGGAGATAAGTAGTCACACTTGGGCAGTGGGGAGCCACAGCAAGTAATCTAGCAGGGCAGAGGCCCATGGTCAAAGCTGTGCTTTGGAAAGCCAGTTTTGGTGGCCATGAAGGCAGCAGAAGTGAAGCTAGGAGGTCCCATTTAGCCGCCTGGAATAGTAATCATCATTGCTGGTATTCATGAAGGCCTTGCTGTGTGCCCATTCTGAGCTGAGCCCTATCCAGACGGCACTGCTCCGCTCCACAACCCTGCTGCCCATTTCACAGAGAAGGAAGCTGAGGCCCAGGAGAGTCTCCGTGCATGGTCCTCAAACGGAACTCCACAGAGCCCTGGGGTACCATGCGGCCCCTCGGAGTCTGAACAAGGTTGTAGGGGAGCAGAGAAAACTCGAGGCCCTATCCCTGCTTCCACCAGAGCCCCCACCCCCTTTTTCTGTTTTAGAGATCAAAGTCTATTCAGAGAACTCTCTGGCTTAAAACAGCTTGAACATTCCTGGGAGAGTGGGAATAAAACTGTGTTGGAAACAGCTGGCCAAGGCCAGACAGGAGCACCGGCATACGCTCAGGCCCTGAGAGTGCGTACAGGGGTGGCTGGAGGAACCACACACGAGAAGCAAGGGAAAGCTTATCTCCCAACCGGCTCCTCGTGCCAAGGTTTCCCTGACACTCTCGCTGGCATCTTGGCCACTCTAGCTAGGATGCTGGGCTACTAGATGCCCACACCAATCAGGCATTGCCTACAGGCTGCCCCAGGAGGACACAGACTCCCAGGCATTTTGGTGGGCAAAGTGGCTCTTTGAAGAGAGTCACAGATGCAGACTGTTTAAAGGAGGCACATGGAAGCCAAGGCTGGGCACAAGAAACAGAAGCAGGGATCCAGGGGATGTGGATGGAGCTCCCCCAGTGTCCACTACACACCTCGTGGGGTTGTTCAGGATTAAGTGAAATGGCTCATTCAAGCCCCTATACAGTGTCTGCCATATGGAAGTGCTCAAAAGAGCTTTTCTTGTGTTTATGAGCAGGTTGGGTCTAGTCAAGCAGACCACTCTGAGGCTCTGGGGTTCATGCTCTGGTGGGGCTCCTTTTGCACCCTCTGTGCCTGGCCGCGTGCTGTACCTTTTCCCTAACCCTCACCCCTCCCCGGGCAGCTGCAGTCCATGGTGGATCTCCTGGAGGGCACCTTGTACAGCATGGACCTGATGAAGGTGCACGCCTACGTCCACAAGGTGGCTTCCCAGATGAACACGCTGGAAGAGGTAAGGGCAGGGCTCGAAACAGAGGCCAGGCTGGTGCAGTGCTGGCGGCCAAGGGCAGTGTCCGAAGGGGCCTAGGCAATTCTTTCTGGACCCTGGTGGCTGTTAGAAGCTGGACTCCTGCAGGGAGCTGGGAGAAGGAGATGCAGGCCACAGGGTCCAACCTTTGAGGAAGAGGTCTGACTGGGCCTCAAGGGCCTGTAGGAAGCTGGAAGGCTGGGTGGAGAAACTGAGGCACCTGCTGGTTGTATGAAAGAGGTGCAGAGGGGGCTGAAACTTGCAGTCGCCCTCAGTTCGCCAAGACCGGGGCCCATATACTGCACAAGTCTGGGGCAACGATTCGCATGAAACACCAGCTTTGTGCAGGACTGGCCAAGCCCACGGGGGCCAGGCTCGAGGTAGCATGGCTGTTCAAGGACCCACCTACCGTGGAGGCAGAGGTGCTAAGTGTCTTCTCCTGGTCAGGGTAAATGTGCTGGAGGGCTGGGCGGGTGGCTAATACTGTCCCCTGAGGACAGGGACAGAGTTGAGTGAGAATGGAGGTTCAGGCTGCAGGTTTGAGGTTTGCATCTCTGCTGGCACAGCCTGGCCTCCACCTGTTTCCTGCATCCGGTCCCTGCTGGGCTGCTGGAAGCCTGGGGATATGCAGCTGCCAGGAGGGGCGTGAAGGCTTCCTTTCCCAGCTTCCTTTCCACAGGGAGGGGGGCACCTGGGCATCCTGTGCCCCACGAGAGGAGATTAACCCCTTACTCACCCCAAAGTTGGGGTCACAGTGGCTTTAATTATTCAAAAAGTGTTTGGTGAGTATCTCTTATGTGCCAGGCCCATGCCAGCATGGGAGAATGGTAACAGTTGTTGAATTTCTACTGTGCACCAGTATTTCCTGTGCATCTAGTACATGCCAGGCTCTCCTGTTGTTGGTTCTACAGTTAGCCTCCTTTGACCTCTCCTCTGGTAATCTTAGGAAATGTTAACTCACTTCACGCAACTGTGAGCCAGACAATCTGGAGGGTATGTCTGCAGAGCCTGGAACAAACCAGAAATGATTTCTGCAGCCACAAGGAAATGATTTTTAAATTATCTTCTGTTTTGCATTATCTGTGCTTTGCTTCTGTTCACTAAGTGATAGCTATGGAAAAAAAAAGAAAAAGTTTTTGGTAACACTGGGGGGAGGCGGAGAGAACAGCCTCACTGAGGAGGAGATGGCTCCCTCTGCCTAAGGGAAAAACATCGCAGGAGGTCCGGCGACAATCTGGGGTCCCAGCTTCCTTCTGCTTTCTTCCCTTACACCAGTGGTTCTCAACCGGGGGTGATTTTGCTCCCCAGGGGACAGCTGGCACTATCTGGAGGCATTTCTGGTTGTCACAATTTGGGGGAGGTGGGTGGCGGATGCTATCGGTCCTAGCGAGCAGAGGTCAGGGATGCTGCTAAACATCCTACAGTACACAGGACAGCCCTACAGCACCCAAATGTCAGTAGTGCTGAGGTTGAGAAACCTGCCTTACACAGTGTGCCTTCTGTCCACCCTGTGATCCAGGTGGGAGTGGGGCTAGGGGCTGCTAAAGCCAGGCAGAGTCCCCAGCAGTAGGGAGACAATGAGGGCAGGAGAACAAGAGGAAGAGTAAAGGTGGGGCTTGGTGTGGTGGGAGGAGCCAAGCCTGCCCAGGAGAGAAGTCCGAGGCCTGGAGACTAGGAAGGGATCAGAGACCGTAGCAAAACCCCACAGAGTTCCGGTGTTTGAGTATTTTATAAGAAAGAGGTATTTATGTATTACTTGCGAAATTAAAAGGTAATTTTAAAGTAGCAAAAGATGGGTAGCAACTTAAAAGGTGGATCCATAAAGGACTGGCTAAATACATTTTGGCCCATCCATACAATGGCAAACTGTGTGGCCAGTAAAAGGTATGGGGAGCGCTATATAAACAGATATGCAAGAGTTCCCAAACTAGGCTCAAGTGAGAAAGCAAAGTGCAAAGGAAAGGAAGGCAGGGAGGAAGGGAGGGAACGCCCCGCCCGTTCCCCCCAGACCCTGCTCAGGAGACTAGCAAAGCCTGGTGGCAGAAGCTGGGGTGTCCCCCAGGGCTGGGGACAGTCAGAGGCTGGAAAGGTCTTGGGTCCCGCCCCCACAGAGTATCAAGGCCAACCTGAGCCGGGACAACGAGGTGGTGAGGGAGAGCATGCGCCACTTCAGGGAGCAGCTGGGGCACTACGAGAACCACTCAGCCATCATGATGAGCATCAAGAAGGAGCTCTCCAGCCTGGGCCTCCAGCTGCTGCAGAAAGACGCGTCCACGGCGCCCGCCGCTGCCCCAGCCCCCAGGCCTGGCAGTAAGGCTCAGGTGAGGCCAGGGCTCTCGTGATGGGCCAGAAGGTGGGTGGGCTGGGAGCACAGTGTGCCAGGACCTCGGCCCTGAGGGCCAGCTGGGTGGGGCTTCGGAGCCGTGGGATGGGCCGAGGGCTGGCACAGCGGGAGAGTCCGTGGCAGGGCGGGGGCAGGGGCTGCCTGCTGCTCAGTGAGCCGTCAACACAGGTGAACCGGGGGCAGACGTGGGGCTCCAGCCCAGGGACACGATTGTAGAGAAGACCCTCCCTGCCTGGTCCTGGGGAAACAGGTCGGCTGCGGCAAAACCACTTCTAACCTCCCCTGCTGCGGCTGGGCCCCTGGCTGGGTCAGGCCTGCTCATGGGTAGGTGGACAATGCCTTGGGGACCCCAGCCGACTAATACCACTTCATCCAACCAATCCTGGGGTGGAGAACTCCTGCAGCAAACACCCAGCCTTCCATATTCAAACTCAGTGCACAAAGTGAGCAAAGGCCCTCACCAAGCTGAGCCACCCGACACACAACACACCTTCGGGCAGATTTGAAAAAGGCCCTCCTGTAGGCAGACATGCTGCAGAAAAGGCTCTCCCACAGGCCAGATAAATTAAAAGGAGGAGCCCCCTTTGGGTGGATAAACTGTACGAAGGCTCCTTCCTGTGACAGACATGTACCAGGGTGTGTGGCTTGACAAATGGAGTACAGACTAGACTTCAGTCCCATTCGTGCCCCTTGGACCAGTTCCACGTGCAGGATACAGCCCACCACTCCCACAGTGGCCTTGTGTTTTGGTGAGTGGAGGAAAAAGGGAGCTGACTTCCTCGCAGACATTATCTCAGTTAATAACCTCATAGCCACCTGTGAGGAGGGATGCTCGTCGCCAGTTTGGCAGATGAAGAAACATGGAGTGGGGTCACTCAGAGAAGGTGGCTGTGTTGGAACCCGGGCCTGCCTGACAGCCGAGCCCACGCTCTTC